TATCCTCAGCTTTGCTACAACTTCTGAACAATCATCAGAAGCTAATATAATTACCAAGTGTAGAAACAGTGTGTTGCTTCTTCTGATGTTGAGTACTTTAGCTTTAGAGTCTCCACCATACAACACTTAGCAAGTGTTCTTTCAGATTCTGTGTCATCAGAAACATGTAACTTAGCTTCACTCTAGTGTGCCTACATATCAGTATTTGAATATATCTTTTGAGTATAAAAAACTGCATACTTAAACATACATTAGATAACACCATTGTTCTTTTAATACTTTTGTTATCATTAAAACTAAGGATATATATCATGAACATATCTTTTTCTAGAATTTGTAGCAATTGAACACTCTAAGGACCTTAGCACCATGATAATTGAAGAGCTGCAAAGTAGTCTAGAGGTACAAGAGTGCGTTTGACTAAGAGAACCTCTGAAAGAGAGGTAGAGCAAGCTCTGAAGGCGTGTTCTGGTAAAAAGAATCAGAAGAAATCTTGGTCAGGGGCTAAGAACTTGTTAGAGTCCAATAAGAGACATGATGGTGGTTATCAGAAGTTAGAAGCCTCCCACTCTGATAAGAAGAAATATCAAAAGGGAAAGGAGAAGTTTGACAAGAAGAAGGTTCAATGCTACTATTGTAAGAAGTTTGGTCCCTTTGCTACTTCCTATTTGTCAAACAAGGAGAGAAAAATAGAAGAAGCAAACATGGTCAGATGAGAGTATGGTGATGAACATGTGCTATTGATGACTTTTGGATCTGATTGTGGATATTTGGTATAATGGTGATATATGGACACTGGATGCTCAAATCACTTAGTTGGAAACAAATAATGGCTTATTAATTTTAACTCTAGAAATAGGAAAAAGATCAGATGTGCTAATGATAAGTATTTGAATACTGAAGGAATGGGAAATGTCAAGGTCAGAGTGAAGAATGGAAATATTATTCTTATCAAGGATGTTGGGTATGTTCCTGACATGAAGAGCAATCTGATGAGTGTAAGTCAATTAATTGAGAAAGGTTTCTCATTTACTATGAAGGACAATCTTTTGAAGTTGTATGATTCTGATCAGAATCTGATTATGCAATATGAGAAGGGAGGATATAGAACACTTAAGGCGAATGTGGAAACAACTAAAACTAAATGCCTTGGTTCATAAGGTACTGAAAGTGATATTGAGTTGTGGCATAAGAGATTGAGGCATCTGAACTTCAGAAGCTTGGGGCATCTAAGTTCTAAGAAGCTAGTACATGACATTTCTAAGATTTTAAAGCTTGAGAAATCATGTGAGATATGCATGAAAAGAAAGAAACCTAGATTTCCATTTGCATCAGAAGTGGTCCCAAGAGCAAAACATGCTTTATGAGTAGTGCATTATGATGTATGTCAACAATTTGAAGTACCTTCACTTGGAGGAAACAAGTATTTCATGTCATTCGTGGATCAGTTCACAAGAATGACATGTGAAACAATAATCAAGTTTATTCATGAGGTATTTACTGAGTTTCAGAAGTTCAAGGGGTGAGGCTGAAAAACAAAGTGGTCAGAAGCTGAAAATTCCTAAAACTGATCGTGGATGTGAGTACAACTCTATAGAGTTCAGAAGTTTCTATAAGGAGAATGGAATTGAGCATTATGTTACTGCTCCATGCATTCCTCATCATAATGGTCCTCTTGAAAGAAGAAATAGATCTGTGTTGGATATGACAAGGAGCATGCTGAAGGACAAGAAGCTACCTCACACATTATGAGGAGTTGTCGCCAATGCAGCATATGTGCTCAATAAATGTCCAACCAAAAATCTAAAGAAAGTAATCCTTATTCAGAAGTGGACTAGAGATAAGAAAAGTGTAATGCATCTGAAGGTGTCTGGTTCTATTTGTTATAAACATGTCCTAAATGCTAAGAGAAGGAAGTTGGATGACAGAAGAAGAGTTATGTTGCTTTTAAGATAACATAGTGCAGGTGCTTATAAGCTTTACTGTCCTTTTACCAATAAAATTGAATTCAACAGAGATATCATTATGGAGGAAACATAAGCATGGGATTGGAACAAGTCTCAATCCAACTCTGGTGTAGTGTTAACACCTGAGTTAACTTCTAAAGATGAGTCTGAAGGTAAATCGGACTCTGAATGAGATTTTACCTCTAAACATGAGTCATAGTATGAAGGTGACTCTAATGATGAACATGAGTCTGAAGACAAGTTTGACTCTGAAGGTGTATTTGATTCTGATCCAGATTATAATGATGATCCAGACTTTGGTGGTAATCATGTCTCTAAAGATGGACATGCCTCTAAAGGTATTCCAGCATCGATATTGTTCCTGCATCTGAAGAAGATTTTGGACAAGTTCATAGACCACAAAGAATTTGACAAATACCAATAAGATTTGCAGAGTTTGATATGTTGCAAGATACTGAGATAGACTCTGAAGAGGAAGTCATTCAGTGTGTCATGTTGGTAGATTCTGAACCAGTTAGTACTGAAGAAGATTTTAAGAAGAAAGTGTGGCAGAAGGCCATGAAAGAAGAGCTTGAGATTATAGAAAGAAACAAGAATTGGTAGTTCAATGAGCTTCCAAGGAACAAGAAATCCATCACTCTAAGATGAGTTTATAAGTTGAAACTGAAGCCAGATGGATCGTTTGGCAAACACAAAGCAAGGTTAATAGCTAGAGGTCTTTTACAAAAATATGGTTTAGACTACTTTGAAGTGTTTGCACTTGTAGCTAGACATGAAACAATCAGACTGGTGATTGTTATAACTACTAATAGAAATTGGCATCTGATGCATTTAAATGTGAAATGTGCATTTCTGAACGGTTCTTTATAAGAGAAAATTTATATGTTACAACCTTCTAGATTTGTGAAAAAGAATCAGGAAAGGATGGTGTACAAATTGCATAAAGCCTTGTATGGACTGAAACAAGCTCATAGAGCTTAGAACCTGAAAATTGATTCATTTTTCAAGCTTCAAAGATTCACAAATTCTGAGATGGAGTATGGTTTTTATATTCAACATACATCTGATAGCAATATGATTCTAGTATGTCTCTATGTTAATGACATATTGCTAATACAAAGTTGTATAAATGAGATAGCTAAGTTCAAAAAGGTGCTGATGAATGAGTTTGAAATGATTGATCTAGGAAATATGGTATATTTTCTAGGGATGGAAATTATGTACTCTAATAATTCTGAAAAGATTTGAGCTAATAAATTGTAAGTCTGTAATCACACATTGAGACATCTCTGCAATACCAGATCTGACATTTGTAATTCAGTTGGAATGGTGAGTAAGTTTATGAACAAACCAAAGTGGTCACATTACCAAGTTGCTGTCAGGATATTGAGGTATATATAGGGAACTCTGAAGTATATGGAGTTTTGTTCCCCTCTAATGTTAAACCCGATTCAGAGCTGATGTGTTATTCAAATTCTGATTGGTGTGGAGACAGAGTTGACAGAAGAAGTACTTCTAGAGATTTCTTCAAGTATCTGGGAGGTCCTATTTCTTGGTTCTCCAAGGAGCAACCAGTGGTTGCATTATCAACCTGTGAAGCTGAGCATATTGTAGGTGCTTTGTCTGTTTGTCAAGCTGTGTGGATTATGAGTTTGTTACAGGACTTGAAGATCAAGGTAAGCGAGCCTGTGAAGTTGATGATTGACAACAAATCAGCTATAAGTTTTGCCAAGAATTCAGTGTTGCATGGAAGAAGTAAACACATTGACATAAAGTTATATTTTCTGCGCAACCAGGTTCAATGTGGAGTGCTTGAAGTTTGTCACTATAAATCAAAAGCAGATGACAGATGTTCTGACTAAAACAATAAAGACTAAACATTGAGGGATGAAATTGGTGTTGTTGATTTTAGTTAGCTGAATATGAATTAAGTGATAGTGTTGGGAGTAATTCAAATTTATTTGAGTTGCATTTAGAGTTAATTCAGTTTGCATTTAGCTTGAGTGTGTATATAAGTGAAGCTAAGTTTTAGTTGTAATATAATTAGGTGTAATCAATTCATCAAAAGTTAGGTACAAATTCAATTATATTTTCTCTCTCTCTCTTTCTTTTCCATTATCTTCTTTATCTTCAACCTTGTACACCAAAATTACTCTCAAAACACCCCTTAACCTAAGTATACTTATCCTATCAAAAACTGATATTTAACTATGTTTCATATCACTCTAATTCATTATTTTATTAACTCGGTAATATATTTAAACATATGTCATATTTTTATTAAAATAGTGATTACAAAATAGACTTCAAGTTTTGTTACCAAGTCGGCCTTAAACTTTTCAAAGTCTACCTTAATTTGGGTTATTGACACCCCTAAAGCACAACGAATAATTTAAGATAATTTATAATCATTCAAGTCACAATTATATTAAAGATATAAATTATACTAAATTGGACACTTAGATTATATTGATTATATTTTGATTGATGGATACAAATTGAGCAAAGCAAATGAAACAAAAATTTCATTAAATTTAATTTTAATAGTTGTTTATTGTTTATTATTTGATGAAACAAATTAGATTATTCAATTTCATTTCATTTTATTATATCTCCCCAATTCAATATATACTTAACTTATAGAGATACACTGCAATTATTTAACTGATATTTCTCAGTGGATGCCGAGAGTGAAAAGTACTCATAATTTCTTCAATCATTTTTCAAATAAAAAAACCAAAACCCTATCAAAATTCAAAGTATTAAAAGAAGAAACCAAATTAAAGTTGTCAAAAAAGAGAAAAGCAAACCAAATGATCAACTCAACCAAAAAAAAAAAGAATGAAGAGAAGAAGCTTTTCAACTTTTTTGTGACACAAAGATGACATAGACATGGCTATACCATGAAAACCTCTCTTATTTAAACCAACTCCATATCCTTACTCATAGGTCTTGCCTCAAAAACCAAAATCCAAGTTTTCATTCTAACCATACTCCATGCATATATATTCTTACTCAACCAACAAAATAAAAATGAGTTTTTTCAAAATATTTCTTGTTTCTATTATTTCTATAACCCTTTTTGTTTCTTCATCAGAATCATCCACCACAAACCTCTACCTATACGGTGGTTGCACACAACAAATGTACACACCAAACTCACCCTACGAGTTAAACCTCGACTCACTCCTCACCTCGTTAGTCAACTCAGCAACATACTCATCCTACAACAACTTCACCGTACTAGGTTCCACCCAACAAGACATAATCTACGGGCTCTACCAATGCCGCGGTGACCTCGCCATGCCAGACTGTGCCTCCTGTGTTGCACGCGCAGTTACGCGGGCAGGCGACATGTGCCGTAACACATGCGGAGGCACGGTCCAGCTCGACGGGTGTTTGGTGAAGTACGATAATGCTACTTTTTTAGGCGTGGAGGATAAGAATGTTTTGTTGAAAAAGTGTGGGCCTTCCGTGGGCTATAATCCGGAGGCTATGGGCTCGCGAGATGCGGTGCTTGGTGGGCTTGTGGGGTTGGGTGGGCCTTTTAGGGTTGGTGGGTCAGGGATTGTGCGGGGTGTGGCGCAGTGTACGGGGGATCTTAGTTTCGGGGAGTGTCAGGATTGTGTTGCGGAAGCGATCGGACGGTTGAAAAGTGATTGTGGGACTGCGGATTATGGAGATTTGTTTTTGGGGAAATGTTATGCGAGATATTCTACTGGTGGGGCCCATGATAGTTCTAAGGCCCATGGTAAAGCCCGTAGGGGATTCTTTCTCATGTTACCGTTGTTGCTGCTTCTACTTCTTTTTTAGATTGTATATTTGTTTCATTTCAACTTTTTCTTTTTTTTCTTCTTTTGTAAAATTGTAAAACATGCAAAATTTCATGTCATGTGTTTTTTTAATAAATTATGTTACAGCACTCTTGATTTTAAGTTCACTTTGCAATATTCTCTGCAAATGCATCATCCTGTATGTAATTGTAATTTGATTTAAAATTACATGTTTGATCGCACTAAAAGATTATGTGTTTGTCCGCACCGTCAAAATAAATATTTTTATTAAATTTTAAGATTTGAGAACAAAACTCAATTTACTTATTAATTATTAATGGATCTTAATGGCTTGCAGGAAAGTTGGGTGAAAAGAAATTTGCAATGATCATTGACCAAGATTTCTTTTCCAATATCAGGTCAACTATTGCACACATATTGAAAAGAAATTTCTTGGAGATATTAATTATTAAGAAACCTATATCAGGTCAACTATTGCACACATATCTCAAAGATCTGACAATTTGTTTGAACATAGTGACATTGACTTTGTCTTCTTGTCCATGCTTCTTCAGTTTCAAATTTCTTTTCACACATATTGAAAAGAAATCTTGGTCAGGGGCTATATCAGGTCAACTATTGCACACATATTGAAAAGAAATTGTTTGAAAACAAATTGTCAGATCTTGGAGATATATGTGTGCAAAGAAAGTTGGGTGAAAATAAATATTTGTTATTCTTCTTGCTTTCTTGACCAAGATTTGTAGGAGACAGGGTAAGTAGTATTATGCTTTTTTTTTTTTTTTTTGTCTCTTTTGTTTTCCTTGATTAATATACTCAATTCAAATCATAAAAAGTAAAGGAAAAAAAAAAGATAAATATGTGGATTAAGCAATATATTGACATGATTATTTTTGTGTGCTCCATGCAGGTAAATAAATTAAATGAAAGTATGTAGCACTTAGTGGCATTCCCACTCATCAAATCTCACCGTAGGATAATCCTCTATGATTTTGCTTTTGTGCCTCTTTTTACTTCACGTTGTTCTTTCTTTATCTTTTTTTTAAACCCTTTTTCGCTTTAAAATTGAATTCAAGAGAGGACTTTGAACCTTGGAGAATGAAGAGATACAAGAAAGAATGTGCAAGAATGGGTGTTTTGTTTTCCTCTCCACTTTACAAAGTTGTGTTGTCTAGTGTCTCATGCTTTGCAAAGAAAAGTAATTATATTATATTCATTTGTTTCTGTAAAGTTCTATAATGTTTTGCTTTATTTATCCTACTTGGTATATGCGCCTTTGAGCTTTTGAATACCTAATTCTTTTATATATAAAATAGTTATCAAAGCTTATAGATTAAGGAAACGCTTACCATGCAATCATGCACAAATATACACCGTACATCCATATACAATAAATTAATAATAAAAGCTTGTAAGTTTAATTAGGACGGACCCAAAAATTAGTTGCAACTGAAGAGAAGGGTAACTTACCAATCTGATATAATATATAATATGTAATACAATTATTAGTTCTATATTAAAAATTCAAAGTCTCGGAAAAATGTCTCAGCGAGTTTTTGTAGTATAGATTGATAAAGGCTAAACATAGTTTGAAGAAACCTCAATATATAAGAATAGAAGAAAAGTTTTTTTTTTTTTTTTTTGTGTTATTGTTAATGTTGAAGGAATGAGAAATATTGAGTGTAAAAGAGAAATAATTGTATTATTAGAATTGATGTTAAAAATTAAATTATAAATTACAAAGTATTTATTTATATATAATTAAGTGATTTGTTTAATATAACAAATCTTAATTTTAATTTGGAGTTGGATTTGGGATACACAATTTGGATTATATTTCAATATATTTTTTATAATTCAAGTTGTTGAACATGAACTTAGTAATAATCGATTTGAATTATTCCTAATTTCTTTTTCTAAGTTAAGAATTTGTCAATCTTTAGCCCTTTGGTGAACATGTCAGTCAACCGTGCTTCGCTCGAGCAATGCATCACTTCAAGTTCACCTTGGTTTACCTTCTCTCTTAGGAAGTGAAACCTAGCCTCTATGTGCTTACTTCTCTCATGCAAAACTGAATTCTTTGCAAGATTAATGGCTGACTTGTTGTCGATTTGCAACACCAGAGGTTTCTTCACTTCGACCTCACATGATGATAATGCCACCACGTGTTGCTTTCTCGAGCACCATAAAATTGGGGCACCAAATACTTGAAAGAAGAAACTAGTCCTGCTTATTCGATCTTCCTTATCTCCACACCAATTAGCATCTGAATAGAAATAAATCACGGTTTATTTGCTTTCAAAATCTCGTCATAGAATTCCATAGTTTTTGACCCTTTTAAGTATCTCAAGATTCTTCTTGCAGCTTTCATGTATGACACCATTGGCTCACTCATGTATATGCTCACTAACCCGACTAAGAAACCTATATCAGGTCAACTATTGCACACATATCTCAAAGATCTGACAATTTGTTTGAACATAGTGACATTGACTTTGTCTTCTTGTCCATGCTTCTTCAGTTTCAAATTTGGTTTGACAGGTGAAGATGCAGGGTTTGAGTCTTCTATCCTGAATCTCTTGAGTACCTCTTTTGATATATTTTCTTTGATGTAGCATCATACCTTGCTTCGACATTTAAAATTTCATGCCTAGGAAGTATGACAACTTTACCAAATCCGAAATTTCAAATTCCTTCTTCACCAGCTCTTTGAACTTCGAAAAGTTCTTCAAGCCATTTCTAGTTACTAACAAGTCATCGACAAATAAGCATATGATTGTTATATTTTGTGCCACAGCCTGAACATAGACACCAAACTGAGACTTGTATTTGATGAATCTCTATTTGACCAAATCTGAGTCGATCTTCTTGTTCCATGCCCTATGTGCCTGCTTGAGACCATATGGGGCTTTGTACAACTCGTACACTTTCCTCGCCTCCTCCTGTATCTCAAACCCAGGAGATTGTGTAATGTATACCTCTTCATTTAGATGACCATTCAAAAATGTTAATTTCACATCTTAGTTAAATGTCGACCATCATTGCTTACATGTCAAGGCTACTACCAATCAAACAGTCTCCAATCCTTCTACTGGTGCATATACTTCAGAGTAGTCGATTTCTGCCATCTAAAGAAATCCTCAAGCTACTAATATTCCATTATGTCTTACAATCAACCCATTAGGATTGTGCTTCAATTTGAACACTCACTTCACTTTGATAGCTTTTGTGTGTGCTTGCAATTTGACTAGCTCCCATGTATTATTTCATTTGATCGATTGTAACTCTTCAACCATGGCTTTCTTCCATTATTTATCTTTGAAAGCCTCGCTATGGTTGATAGGTTCAATATCTGCAAGTAAATATAAATGAAACAAATCTCCATCTGGTGTGACTTCATCATTAACTGAAATTTCTTTGTGCTCACTACTTTCTTCATCAACTTTATAGCCCATCAATGGCTTGTCAGTCCCATCACTTAAATTCTAAACCCATGAAGAATTCTTATCAATCACAATGTCTCAAATAAACATGATTTTATTGTACGTTAGATTGAATAGCCTATATGCACCAGTTTTATGATATCCTATCAAAATAATAGGTCAACTCTTATCATCAAGCTTCCTTCTCTTAGCATCAGAAAGATGCTTATAGCAATTAGAGCCAAACACCTTCAGATGACTCACTAATGGTCGTTTATCACTCCACACTTCTTCAGGAACCTTTTTCTTTAGCTTCTTGGTAGAGCACTTGTTCAGAATATAAACAGTTGTGGTGACAGCTTCACCCCAAAAGGATTTTGAAAAATTCTTCTACTTCAGCATGCATCTTGTCATATCCAATATGATCATGTTTCTTCTTTCTGTTATTCCATTATGTTGAGGCGGGTAAAGAGCAGTTACCTCATGATTGATACCATATTATGTACACAACTTTTCAAACATCTTGGACGTGTATTTGCTGCCTTCATCTATTCGTGGAACCTTGATCTTTGTTTCACTTTGGTTTTCAGCAAGCATCTTAAATTTCTTAAAGATTTCAAATACTTTTTTATTTCACTAGATCACATAGATCCAAAGCTTTAGACTATAATAATCGACAAATGAGACAAAATACCTGTTTTCACCAATGGCATGATCCTCGAACGGGCCATATACATCTAAGTGTATTACTTTTAGTATGCAAGAGGGGCTCATTAGCATAATCAAAACAAAAGACTTTCTAGATTGCTTCCCTACTAAGCAACCTTCACATAGTTTTTCGGGCATCTCGAGACTTGGTATAACAATTATCATATCTTGAGTAATCAGTTGATTGAGTGAGATAAAATTCAGATGGCCAAATCTTAAATTCCAAAACCAACTATTCTTGTGATCGACAACTGCTTTGAGGAATTATAACTCATTCAAATTGATCATGGTCTTAAATATCCTATTCTTCAACATAGGAGATTTTAAGACTAGATTATTTTGAATTTCGAATAGTTCCAAGGCTCCATCTTTCATAACCAATGAGAAAACTTGTTCGACCAATTATCTAATACTTAGCATATTGCACTTTATTCCAAGTACATGGAGTATATCTTTGATCATAACTTTTGATCCATTCTTCCTTTGAATAACTATGTCTCCATTACCTTCTGCTTGCAACGAGCTATTATCAACAAGTTTGACCATGCTCTTCTTCGACTCATCAAAAATATGCTAACCACACTTTTCGAGAAACTAGATCTTGGTGTCAAAAGGCTCATCTACAAGTACAACCATAACTACCATGTCTTCAGAATCATCTAAATCTAGGCGTGCAAGGTTTACTATTTCATTCTTTCCTTTCTTGTACAAACAAATCTTGGCCATGTGATAGGAGTTTCTTTCTCCTCTTTTGGAGGATTCAGAAGCCCTATCATCGACCTTATGTTTTTCAGGGTTCGACCAAGAGTTTTTGCTCAGAATCTTGTCTCCTTTTCCCTTGAACTTGTTGGAACCATCATGTTTCTTCCATGTTTGAGTCTGGAGAGCT